CGGGGTTATAAAGATTATCACAAACATATCGCAGGATATTAGAATGATAAAACTGCTTCCACATTCTTGGTAATGATTGATAAACTAATGTTATTGCACAACTAGCTCGAAGAAAATGATTTTTACACATAATAAAGAACCTTATAATGAGATATTTTAGAGATGTTTGAATTGTTAATTTAATATTTAATAGAAAATTCCAACACAAGTAGTATTTACGATAAAAATTATAATGTAAAGAATATGAATATTAGATAAATATTGGTATGTTTCTTGGTGAAACTAGTTAGGTCTGTGAGCATGTGTGTATGTTTTAACTCTAAGACTTTATAAGAAGTAATGCCTAAAGTATAAACTTAAATAAAAACCAAACCTTCTAGTACAATCTACAAATAAAACATTTATAAGCTTTTGACATGTTTAGGGCAAAGATAATTGAGATGTTTGTCATCTTGTGATTAAATTATGGTAGTAATGTCTGGGGATGGAATGTTGACGTCACTTTTTTTACATTACAATATACTATTATGTTTGTAATTAAGTAATACCTTTTCATACCGTGTGCACTTGTTTGACTTTTCTATTAACTTACGTTAAATCTCACTCACTTAATAATATAATAATAGGAACCCAATCGCTAACAGCTAAAGAATTAAATGTCACAAAGTTAAAGCTCACACGAAAAGACGACGTTAGTGAATTTCTATTTGATTAAATATACTAAAAATAAATACGGCGAGTCTCTCTTGCTTCCGTTCGGAAATTGAACTGATAAATGAGTCTATATGTGCTCACAGTCCAGCGCAGATCATTTGTCAACGTTACAAGCACTCGTGAGATCTATTTATTCTTTTTAAAATTGGCACACGATGCTTTAGAAAGTATAAATTGATAGACTTCTGTCACCAGTTTATATTTAGCTTTATTCACATGAAACCTAATTTTAGTAGTTTTATGACATGTTCGTAATAAATGCATGATCCAAAACTAGAAAGAAAAATTACTTGATCAATAGAAAATAACCAGTCATGATTAACACGATTTTTCAAGTGATAAACATACCTCACATGATGATGACTATTAGATCTGTAGATGTCTTGCAGTTAGGTTGTGGCTAAATCATAAGCTTACATCGCCACATCTAAATCATTTGGTAACAGTTAGATCTTTTGAAGATTTCCTCAAAACATGATATGTGATCTGTTATAACAGATCTTTAGCTCTGTTCATTATAAGATGTGATAGTATGAGTGAACCATTTACTTAACTCGTTCAGTTGTATTTATATTTCGATTAATCGACTGATATAATGGATGAATATATATAACAGTAGGACTTTAGTTGTTGAATCTTAATTAACGATAATTTGTAAACACAGAATCAGGCTTTGTTTGGTATTTTAACGAGTTTTTCTCAAAAAAAAATTAAGGACATTTTAAACACCCTTACACAATATTAACAATTACCTATATCAGTTTAAAAGTCTAAGGCATTAGTAAAACTCAAATTTCTACTAAATATATCATTGTATTACAGTTTTTGCCATACTTAACTCCTTAATATATTATATTTAATCAACTGTGTTAATAACGATTTTTTTGAAAGAAAAATGTATTATTATAAAATGGTTTACATATTCTTTAAATTAAAGACAGTTGATGAATGATATCGTCATTTTTCTTTTATTATACATGTTAAGCAATCAAAAACTTTATATATCCACGAAAACAAAGTTTGGCGTACTCCAGACTAAATACTCATATTATGTCCATGTAGTAAAACTACTGGTTTTAAAAGCGACTAGACTAAGATGCTTTAGCGATTAAGCTTTGCTATCAGCAACAATTGTACTATTATACAGTCTATGAATCAAGAGCTGGAATTTAACAATGTTTTTTTTTCATTAAATATTAAAATGTAAATACATGAATTATTAAGTACATACGATAAAATTGGTCACTTGATTGCTTATTATTGCTATCTGAAAACTAAATCATTTAGGCAGTAACTTTTTTACGTGTTTATGGTCATAGTTATCGTCCACTGGCCAAACAATTAAATTGTGAGCGACGAGAAAACATTTGGTAAAGAACTTACTTGTTTCGTCAGTGGACGATAACTATGACGATTTTGTTTAATAGATGTAAGCCCTAAGCTGGAATGTTGAAACTGTATGTTTATCTGTATTTTTTATGCATTAAATTAATACAATATCATTTTGTTGACTTTTCGCATTTCAAAAGCTATTAAGTGTAAGTCAAGAACATAAAAAAGGAAGCTACGTTTCGATTGATTAAAACAGCTCATTTAAAAACAAGACGCCACAGCTCACGGATTTCGTTTTATTGGTTATTAAAGATACAATTTGGCAGTACTTCTGAGCTATACCAATTGATCTGTAAAGCTCAGAATCCAAATATTACCTTTTTTCATTGGAAGTAACAATTTCAAGTTGTTTAACTATCTAAATTATACACCACAAGTAACTTCAGTTCCTGTGTTTGATAACATGCACATGTATTTATAGTTCTATTACATTTAGTTAAACGTAATACTTACGGCCATCTACGAATATCCAAAATGTAAGAAAAAATTAAAATACTAGAAAGTTTATAATACTTCTGTTACTTGCACTAGGTAGCATTAATAGTATGTCTAAATATGTTAATGGTTAAAGTATTTTGACGCTTTAGGCAAAATTTCAAAATTCTGTCAACGGCAGAACGTCTCTACCATTATCACCCATAAACATATATGACATCAATACGTTAAACTGATAGCTCTTCTGCAAATTTTCAATAAAAAATAAAATGACGACACCACTGTTTCGACATGCACAATATAAAGTTAACAGCAGAAAAATATATGATAAAATATTCTAAATTCACGTCCACCTACTTCAGGAGACAAATAATACACATCAAGTTCCTTAATATACACAGTATATGTACATGTACAACTTTACCTCTAAGTATTTTTACATTGCCCCAATCAGTGACATGTGACGAGTTCGCGACATGTTTCGTCGTGGTCGAATCACTCGTTTTTCTTTTATCAACAACATGTTTATGTTCTTTTATTTTAAATTTCTAATTGTCTGCTTAATATAACCTAAACCACAACAACATGAAACTTTGTATATTCCACATTTATTCGTTAGTTCACTCTTATCCTTCACACCATTAACAATATTACTTAATCTTAACTGAGGAGTAAAAGTTTGACAATTCGAATTTTTCATAAACATATTACGTATTTTTGTTGACCATGATGGGGCATACGTTAAACATATTCTTTCCTAGCTTCGCTTTTGGTTGTCTGGAATTTGGTACATACAGAAATTTGCAGTTTAATACAATATTTTTATAGATCCTATCTACAATATTAGGTTCATACCCTCTGTCAATCGCTACTTATTTTAAATAATTTAATTCTAACATTTGTTACGTATTAGAATTTCGAATAGTCCGAAGCCGAGTTAACTGATAATCTAAATTTAGTAGCTAAATTGTACTTTGGATTTAGTACTTATAGGCGTGGGAAGGTTTTCTAGAAAATTCAGATTACATAACAATAATGAGCTATATTTAAACGTTTACGTATATAGATATATTGTTGATTCCCACTCTCGAGAATCTTCGACAACTTTGGAGAATAGGCGGGAGTTTCGCAATAGATATCTAACATTACAAGCAATGCATGTTTTTAAATATAAACTTAATCTAAACAACGTTAATATTAAAATAAATACATAACAACAAATTCGTTACCCATTACATTTTCATTATATGACGAGATATTAACGGCCTTATGTACAAAAGACGAAAATGACGCGACATGGCAACTGAGAACGACTTCCTGTGTATAGAAGTAAACAAAAAGACACTTTTTCTTTTTAGAGAAATATCTAAAAAAATTATAAAACCCTCATTTTCAACTTCTAAAATGAAATGTATCATAGAGCTCATCGAATTAAGATGCTTTGGAAAATCAATTAACGTGATATTGTTATGCCGTCATACCAGAAACGTGTCATATCTTACCTACACCTCGGGTATTAACCAATGTTTTTAGCGCACGAGTTTCAGCATCAAGCATTAAAATTTCTGCTAATAGAGGTAATAAAGGTGACCCTAAAGACAAACCTTTATTCTGTCTGTAAGTTTCATTTCCTACTTTAAGATAACTATTAGTTACACACAACATTGTTAAATTTATAATATCATATACATGTAAACATGAAAAACTTGCTAGCTACTAATCTATTTTCAAAACAACATAACACTTCCATCACTGATACATTTGTGAACAACGATGCTACATCAAAAGAAACTAGTCGATCACTTGTATCTTTGTTAATATTTACAAATTCAGATGCTTTTTAACCGTGTATGTGTGAGAATTTGTTAAATATACATATGACATGTCATATATACATATAGTATTAGATGTGCCAAATGTCGCAGTTTCTAGTAAACCTTTAGCTTAAAGGCCTATCTGTGTAAATTTAGTAAGACTGTGTTTTTTCTTTGTTGTTTTTTTTTAAGCTGCAAAGAAGTGAAGTATTTCTTTAAGATCTACTTTCTTGAATTTAGTAGAAACTTGTTTTATATCTAAATTATTCACCTTGCAGTGCCTGGGTATGAATACGTAGGACACGTCAAAGAATTTAAAACGAGTGCGAGGTAGTCCATTCTAATAAAATTGAAATTAACGTAAAAACGTTTTTCGATTTTGCTGCCATACGTTGTTGCTTACCTGGCTTATCTACTAACATGTAGAAAAAATGAAAATTTTCAGTCATATTCACATGAATTGATATATTTATAATTTAATTAATATCTAGTAGATCTTCCTTTCGCTTCCTGGAGTTCATTGATCCTTTGGGGCATCGTGAGAATCATCTCGTCAATTTTAGATTGTGGGATTTTCGCCCACTCTTGCTTCAAAACTTGGAGTAGATCGCTCTTCGAAATTGGTTTTTTTTTGGTTGTTTCGAGTATGGCCCAGAAGTTTTCGATGGGGTTCATGTCAGGAGATTGGCTCAGCCAGAGTAACTTCTGGATACCGTTTCTTTCCTGTCACTTTTGGGTGTTTCTAGCAGTGTGACTCGGTGCTCCATCTTCCTGGAACAACG